AAGTAAATGGAATATGTCTGAGAAAGGATATAATGTGTGATTATGATCCGTGAGCCCAAGTAACTTGAAAAGGGGATTACGATATATATTATAGCAGACTGAAGGGTGTATTATAATATATATATATATATATATATATATATATATTGTGATCCACGAATTTATATCAATTATAATTCACGTATTATGACATTGATTGATAGAAAGAATATGAAAATGAGAAATGCTGAGAAAGAGAATAAGTATATATAGTATAGCGATACATTGGGGGTATAGAGTCCAAAAAAGATTTGGAAAATATTGGGAAAATGAGGATAGTGAATGCTAATAATAAAAAGGTGCACAATAATTTATTGAAAAATAGATATTCACCGCCCACACCTTCATTTCCTGACGAAACTCCTGACTATACCTTTGCTAAAAGGGGTTGGGGCGGCACACGTGTATCTGTGATGTTGTGGCCAACCAACAGCTATTTACGCTAAGAAGCCCTCAAGGGATTGCAGGGGCAATTGTTATGAAATTGTTATAGATGTGTAATGATATAGATCTGTATGGTTATAATATATGTATCGTAATAGCTTGATTTATGTTGTTATGATATGGGTGTTGTAGTACATCGACCTATGTGACCAGGACACATGTCTTGTGACATATAAATTGATACGATATGATATATATATATAATAACATACATGTTAATATAGAAATGTATGTGTAATGAGTAAATTGTGGTATATGTTTTGATTGATGGTTGTCTTATTATATGTGCTTGGATGTAATGATTATAAATATGGATCGTATACTATTGTTAATGAATTAGAATAGAATATTAAGCAATAACTTTAGTTTCTTTTAAAATAATTCATAATAAAAGAGATTTAGTGGGGCATAAAATACTCACCCTTACTGATATGTTTCAGGTAATTGAAAGAAAAGAAATGAAGATGGATGATCCGTTCTAGGGTCATACTCATCAAGGATTGTAGGAGAAAGAACTGCTTAGATATAATAAATTTTAATGTAATAGATGTATATTTCCATTTATGTATTTTTATTCCTTGAAAGTGAAAGGTTTTATTGAGAGATTTTGTCAATTTGTCAAATTTTATTTATTTATATTCTCATGTTGTATCATTTATTTAAACCTGTACAATTTCTTACAAAAATTCTTATTTATATTTTTAATAATGTAAATATTTAAAGAAGAGAAGGATGTTACATGAACTTTATAACTTTTAAAAGATATATCTATTTAGATAGTTTAATAGTCTATTTATAAATAAGCTTAATGATCTATTGAATGTCTCAATATGAAGTAGGCCATTAAAAAGGCTAATAAGCCAAATTAGACTTTTAAAAGGTTAAACTAGACTTAATAAAAAGCATGATAGGTAATATGTTAAGTTTAGGCTTCAAAATTATTAGACAGGTCAAAACTATTTATGTAAAGCATAACTTAGTCTGGCATATTTTCATTCCTAAATTTAAGTAAAAATTGCTTTCTTTTTTAATTAGTACAGTAATTATTTCTTTTATAAAAAAGATATTGTATTTTGATTGAAATAGTTTTTTTAATTTTTTCAATTTTAAAACTTTTATTTATTTAATTTATTTCTATATAATAATATTAAAATATTATTAATAAAAAATTCTAAACTTTTTAATTTATTTTGATGTAAATTTATTAAGAGATTATTTTTTATGCATAGTTAATATAAAAATTTTATATTTTTAATCAATTAAAAATATCATAATAATTATTACATTAGTAAACAATTTTAAATGATATCTCAATTTATAATTAGATGATAGCATAAAAAAATTACACGGCAGAATATTTCAATTAAATTCAAATATTAACGCAAAAATTTTACTAATCTATAAACTAATGCTCAAGTTCTTCCGTTACAACGTCGCATGGCATTTTTTTTTTATTTTTAAAAATTTATTACTCTATTTATATTTAATTTAATTTTAATTTATTCTATTTATATGTTATTTATTTTATATCTAACTTTTTCAACTTATATTTAATAATAACTCTTCACCCACGTATTCTATAGGGCAACGATATTGAAATTAAAACCAATCACCGATTAACCATTAATGCATAATTTAAACAAAATAATGTGTGTGTTCTTAACTTTAATAAGTGCATTAACAAGAGAATTATTGATTTGTATTTGGCATATTTTCGTAATAAATCAAATTTCCTCATGATGTAAAATATCAAGAATTTAGCCCTAAGTAACGTCATTAATAACTAATGAGGTCATAATTGTCTCATCAGCTATTACAGTCAATAAAAAAATTAATTAATCTCTTCAAATATTTAATAATTATAAAAATATTAATTAAAAATTTAGCATCTAAAATCCTAACTTAGCATAAAAAAAAAATAAAGATTATGTACCATCAAAATTAACAATTTAAGATTTAATAGCCAATTACAAATCGTAAAAGTAAGCATGAAAAATTTAATACTTAAAAACATTAAAAGTCTTAAATTTCTATATTAAGAAATTACCATAATTATGTCATATTTTAAGATTTAATAGCATAAAAATTATTACTTAATAACATTAAAATTCCTAAACTAACAAAATTTTAATTAAAAAATTAATGATAATAAATTTACACTTACACCAATAATCATAAATTTTAATTACTCTTCACGTTTTACTTAATTTTAAACAAACTATATAAACTTTGATAAAACTTTAGACCATTAGAAAACCTAAATTACACTAAAGAACATAGCAATCTATCTTATTAAAAGTGAGCAGAACAATTTTTAAATAAAATGATTTAACATTTTATACCACTTTAGACAAAATAATATTTTTTTAAAGAAAATTCTAAAAAATACTAACATCTACTTTAACACTAACAATCATTAAATAGTTACTTCCAAAAATTAATAAATGTTTTTCCTTTTATTTTAATTTAACATTTTTATTTCAAAAATATTTTCTAAATTAAATAACACTAAGACTAATGAAAAGAAAATTTAATTTACGAACACTTTTTACTTCTTTTAAAAGTAACCATAAAAATAAGAAATAAAAAAATTTACACTTTATCCTATAAATACTATCAATTTCTCTATTTTAACACTAAATGTTTTTTTTTTCACCAAAATTTATAAAAGTGTCATAATAGTATGATAAAATATACAGTAAAAAGAACTGAGTAAATTGTGAGAGAAAGTGAATATGTAAGGAGGGGTATATATATAAGGTATTGCATATAAAAAAAAATAAAAAAACAAAAAATTAAAGAATGTGTTTGTTTGTAATTTTAAAAAGAGTTTTCTCTTTTAAAAATAAAATTCTTTTAAAAAGTAGAAACAAACATGCTCTAATTTAATAACCCTTTACACTCCTCTTATAAACTCATGAGTAAAAAAATTGAGTTGATATCTATACTTTGTAAAAATTAGATGAAAAATAGAAACAATAAGAACATCAATAGTTTATTAGATTGTAAGAATATGAGATACTTAAAGTTCCTTTTGACATATTTTTTTTAAACAAAATAAAAATTAATATTAAAATATTTTGTTAGTGAATAGAGCTGTTGAGAGAACACTTAAATTATCACAATAAACTAATGAAAGTAAAATACTAGTATATGAAGCTCATGTAATATATTCTTAAGTCAAGTAAGATTAACTATAATACTTAACTTCAGTGCTAAATCGAGAGATTATATATTATTTTTTTTGAAAAATCGGTTGAGAAATAATTGTAATATTACATAATCTAAAATTTTTAGTTTTGTGTTATAACTACAAAGTGTAGAAAAAAAAAAGATAAAGTTTTAAATTTTTTTGTAATTTTAGCTTAAATAAAAATTACTTTTTTCTAAAAAATTAGAACAAATTTTCTTGCCTTAAATGAAAATTATTTTTTCAAATTCATTTAATCAATTTTTTTTTCACTTAAGTGAAGTTAAACTGCAAGTTGTAATTTCTACAAAAAAATTCTAAAAAATTCAAATCCCAAAACTTACTAATGACAATCTTTCAAAAGTCATGTACAAGTACTTTCATTGTAAATCTCATATTTCAGTAATTTTCATTCTTAAATACATTATAAAAATAATTTTCTTATTTTTAAATATTATTTTAAATATTTAACTATAATATTGTTTGTTAGAAATAATGTTTATTAAAATTTATATTTTTATATTAAAAGATGTTGCTTTTCTCATTATCAATTTCTATATTTTAAATTAGGGTCATTTATTTCATAAGTGAAATATGAGTGAAACTATCTGTTTTACATTTTGCCACATATACATTTTAAAATTAAAATTAATTAAAAATACTGTGTAAATTACATTCTCTATTACTATAATGATAATGCTTTTTATACACATTTTTGTTAATTTTGTTTTAAATTTTAGAGATTAAACTTGTTACTTAATTTTTTCTCATTACTGTATATTATTTTTATATTTATAAAAATTATCTTAATATTTTTTTAATTTAGAGTTTACTTTTAAAATTTTCATTTTTTAAATTTATAATTATTAATGTATATTGATATTTGACATTGAATTCAAAATTTTTTAAAAGTATTATTTCAAAATAAATTATATTTTAAAATTTAGCTTGAATTTGAAAATACTTGACTGAACTCGTTTAAATACTTAGTCACAATGAGTAAAGTTAGAAATATATTCTGCAATATATTAAATTTTATACAAGTTATAAAATACAAACAAAAATTGTTAAATTAAAAATAAAAAATAAGACTTGCTTAACTTTTATGAGTTTTAATAAATTTTAATTAATAATTAAAATATATTAAAATATGTGTTATAATGATATCTTTAAGCGGCAGTTGATTTTCTACCCAAAAAAGTTCAATGTATGTTTTTAAAGAAATAAATTAAGTGAGCCCCACTTTTTGCATAAAAAAATAGTATGAGAAGAAAAAGAAATGAGTAAGCTCGAAAATATTTATTATTTATTCATATATTTAAAAATTGATGAAGTGGAGCTTTATAGGTGAAAAGGAGCACACAGAACACGACAGCATAGTGTAACAGCATCTTCATCCGCAGAGTGAAACAAAAACAGAGGAACCCAAAAAATTAAAAATAAAAAAGAAAATTCTAACCCGTGAAGAAACATAGTAAACCAAAAAAAAAAAAAGGAAAAAAAAGAAAAAGACACGTTACCCCTTTGTCTCTGCGGGGGTGTGGATCTTGAGAGATTGTGGATCTGAATTGGTGTTAGGGTTTTGAAGGGTTTTTCCTTTTTCTTCAATGGCCACGCCCTTTCCCATTCCCCTCACTGCAGCTCAGGTTCTTCTTTCTCTCTTTTCGTCAGCTTTTTTCTGATTCAAATCCAATCGAATAATCTCTCTCTCTTTGGTTTTGTTTTTGTGGGTTCAGGTTGGAACGTACTTCGTTGGGCAGTACTATCAGGTGCTTCAGAATCAACCAGAGTTCGTGCACCAGTTCTACTCCGATGCCAGCACCATGCTTCGTATTGACGGCAATGCCAGGGAAACCGCCGCTGCAATGCTTGTAATTTCTTCATCTTCTTTTGTCTCTCTTCATTATTCTGTTATTATTTTTTTCTTTTTCAATTTCGTCCAATAATACAAGGGTCTGTGTTTTGGTTTTGTTTTGTTTTTTGTTGTGGTTTGGCTTTACTAATGTTTTCTGTGAGCAGAATTGGACTGTTTTGATTGTGTATCTGGGTAGATTTTGTAGTGTGCTGCTTGTTGTTATGCTGAATGTAAGTAATGATGTTTCAATTTTTGGATTTAGAAGTTCCAATCTTGTCTATGATGTTGGGTGGCGGTTGAAGGGTAGCATTTAAAGTGGATAAAAAAAAAGGTCAAAGAATTTTATGGGTGCAGATAAGAAATGATAGCTATGTTTGCAGATAAGAAGATGGAATTTTTGTGTACCTTTGTCACGAAAAGTTTGTGCATATTTAAGTCAGTTGTTTTTGTTGTCATGAAGTAAATTTTGTAGTATGCTGCTTGTTATTGTATTGATGACGAGAACAGATGATGTGTTAGATTTTATCAAGAAAATTTTTTACGTTGAAAATTTTCCACCAGGTTTCTAACTGTGGCATCAGTGTAACAGCTCTAACTCTTTGCATTTAAACAGGATAAAAATAACAGTTAGAAATTTAATGAGGGTCGTTAAGATTTATTGCTTGTAGTTTGGCCATATCATTATGTATTGTTTACCAATGTTGTCAAGATCGGTGTCTTACCTGGGATCGGGAGCAGGGGTAAAAGATCTTAAATCGTGAGATTGTAAGATAGATCGTAAGATCCTGTCAAACATGTAAAACTATACTTAAACATATATATAAGCATAGAAAATAACATACATAAAAAAATTAACATCTAAATCACATAATTTAATTAAACATAAACTTAAGATTCTAGTATTGGAAGCCATGCAGAGATGAGAGAACCAAAACAGAAGACAAATGGAAGACCCACAAACTGAAACAGCAGTAGAGCAGAAGAGAACACCCACAAACCACCAAGAGAACACATACATAACAGCGAACCAGTGGCAAAAAGAAGAGAAACAAAAAACGCAGGCAGCAACACCTAGGTTGCAGAAAATAGAAGATTGACACACAGAGGAAGAAGATCGTTTTGAAATGTAGAGCAGAGGTTGCAGAAAATGAATATGGAAATAGCTCAAACAGAAGTGTCATCAACCAACCCAAACCCACAAAAAGCAATAGTGCAGAGGTTGTTTCAAAATAGAGAAATGATGAGGGAAAACTTTGTGACCTAGCTGTAAGAGTCATAGTCGCACGAGAATAAGGGAATAGAAGCCCAAAATCGGGGTAAAAAATTGCCCTAGAAACATGTTTTTATAAACCGGGGCACGAAAACCCGACCCAGAAATCTGTGTAGGGAAGATTGGACAGATTGTTGATCTTACGATCCTAAGGAGAAAGATCACAATCCTAAGTTATCTTGTTGATTTTCAACCCTGTTGTCGATTAAGATCGTGGGGTGGGCTAAAGATCGTAAGATTGCACAATCTTGTGATTAAGATCGAGATTTTGGCAACATTGTTGTTTACAATTTCAGCCAACCTCACCTAGTGGAATAAACTTGATGGTTAAAATGGAGAAAGATATTGAAAGTTATTTGAGATTGTACTTATCAAGTTTAAAGGAAATTTTATCGTATCCATATACGGTCAACTAGCTATCTTATATGGTAGTAGACAAGACAAGAAAGAAAATACATTACTAAAAGTAGAATGCCAAGATGAATGAGTGATCGCATGAGGAAGAACAAGATAAGAAATGATTGTCTACAAAAGAATATTGAAATAACACTTATTGAGGGAAATATGAAAGAAAATTGATTTAGGTGGTTTGAATACATGCAAAAAAGGCCACTGAAGGCATCAATAGGTGAATGGATGACATGACTTTTAGTCTAGTGGAAAGGGAAAGGGAGACCTAGAAGAACTTAAGAAGAAATTATTAAAAAGGATCTCATGGTAAATATTATTTGAGAATTTGGTTTTTGACTGAACTTAATAGCATCATGTGATCCATGTAGTTGACTTTATCTAGAGGAAGAAGGCTCTGTTGTTGTTGTCATACAATTTTAGTCTCATTTGGAAGCTGTGTCTTCTTCAATTCTTATGAAATATGAAGCTATCTGTTGCCTTTTTTCTTCTGATAAATTTTTTCAGTTGTTAGATGTCTGTAATTGCTCTAATGTCTAGCCTGGAATAATCTGCATATGGACTTGATGCAGCCTTGAATTTACATGCCTATAATAAAGAAGAGTATTTTCATTTTGGCAAGCCAATTACATGTGAGATCTTTGATTTGTGGAGTGAAGGAGCTGTAATGTTGTTTGAGTTAGCTGGCTGAGTTTGAAGGAAGTAGCTTCTTGGGTTATGGTTTAAACGATGCTATTTTTTTTTTCTCCCAATATTCTGAAGTATCCTTTCTGCAACTTTTATGCAATTTGTTGAAATTTGTAGATTTGCATTACCTTCTAATAAGAATTTTGGAAGCACCACACCACAAAAGCTAGCTGTTGTAGTTGGAGACTCCAAGGCCTTATAAACCTCACTTTAAAATCCCATGCTTCCAATGTGAGACTCAAGTCTCATACCTTACAATTGGATCCTAACATCTCTTACACCATGGTTCCATTCAAGTTTCTTTGTCTTTCCAGTTGTCATGCCTTAATGATTAAGAACCTGAACATCTTCAGCGTTCCTACTTGTTCTTGCTTATCTGTGTGTATTTTGTATACCCCCATGTTACAAGTTTTCCTTCTAATTGTAAACTAGTTATTTGGATTATGAATGCATGAAGCACTTTTAACTCTCCTATCTTCTCACTTTATCTTGGATGCTTGTAGTCTAATGTATTAGCATTTTATTAAAAAAGATATTAGTTAGTTAAAATGATAATCTACACTCTTTGTTGATTTAGTTTTCTTACATTTTACTTGGTCCTTAATTGTTTGAAAGGACTTGGCATTATCTGCAATTGTTTATGCATGTACAATTAATAGTAAAGCTCTCTTTTCCCCCCTGAACTAAAATCACTTCTCTGTGACCAGCAAATCCATGCAATGGTTATGTCACTGAGTTATACTGGAATTGAAATCAAGACTGCACAATCACTAGAATCTTGGAGTGGTGGTGTTATTGTGATGGTTTCTGGATCCGTGCAAATTAAGGATTACAACTGGAGAAGAAAATTTATGCAGACATTCTTCCTTGCACCCCAAGAAAAAGGCTTTTTTGTGCTCAATGATATTTTTCACTTTGTTGAAGAGGATCCAGTTCCCCAGCAACAAGCAGTCTTGTTACCTCAGGGCAATCTTGATTCAAAACTGAATGCTCCTAGTACAGTCAATAAGCCAGGTAAATTCTGTCACAACTTGTGTTCTTGTACCTGAATTGGAATAGAACAGAACTACTTGCATCAAGTTCTTTGTATCCTTTCCATCAAGGTTTTTTTATATAAAAAATGATACATGGATTACTTTAATTTCTTATCAAGTAACGTAATCTTAATGGAAGCTAATTAAAGTTCCATGTGTTAAAGTTTGATCTGAGAATTTGACCATATGTTGATATGGATATAGGTAGCTTGATCTAAATTTTGACAATGGTAATTTATCACTTTATGTTATTAAAAAAATAAAGAAAATGTAAAATTTTGTTTCTATGGATATAATGTTAGAAGTTATATCATTGTAACTTTGTGTCTCTATGCGGGTTACCAACTTTATGCGAGTCATAGATCTGATATGGTTTAGAGTCCGTGTTAGAATGCTAGTAAAAAATTCTTTAGTTGTCTTGCTAGTCTCAGAATCTTTTGTTTCTTATGTTATTTCAGTTGCAAAATCCTAACTTCACTTTGTCTGCCCTTTATTCTTTCCAGTTATTATCTTTTCCACGACTGCTGCTGTTGGTACTGCTCATCTTTTTGAGCTGTTTACATTTACCATGCTTGTAGTTTATCATTGCTGCCAATCGTTTTTGCTACATTGTTATCAGTTGTCAACTGCCACCAGCCAGCATTGTCTCATTGACAACACAAAAAAAAAAAAAAACTCCAGTGCCTTCAAGTTGGTTGTAAAAATTTGTTCCTCTAAGTTAAAGAAAGCTGAAGCTTAACCTTTGATATGGGATATATAATGAATTAATAATAATATGGGATATGGATTTCTAGGACTTAAAGATTGCAAGCTTAAACCTTAACCATAGGTCCTCATGCAGATTGTGGTTGCAAATGGTTGGCTACAGTTTTACTTTATAAAGTTGTCAGCTGTCTTAAGCTTAATCCTCCCTTATCTATGATGATAAATGTTTTATATCTTTGACAATATAAAATAATTTTACTTTGGAAAGATTCAGGTAAATAGCCTGTTTGACTGATTATGCAATATAAGTGATTCTGGAAACTGTAATGTTTTAACTCTTATGTAATTTAGAGATGGATTTTACAGTGTCCAACTACCTGCTGGGTGGAGATATCCAGGCTAGGGAATTTGTTGCTACAAATGAGGTCAAAGAAAATGGTGTAGTTGATAATTATGGATTTTCAGAGCAACAAATGCAGCGGGGTCCTGACTCGAAACATATTAGGGAAGACAATGCTGTTGAAGAGTCAAATGGTTCACTTCAAGCTTCAGTGAATGCAGTGCAAGACAATGTACCTGCCTCTCCTGATGAACCTGCTGGGGAGCCACAAAAGCACACTTATGCTTCCATTGTATGTACTGACTAACCATTATATTAATTTCCAAATAATGTTTTTCTTTTGGGATTTCTGTCATGACATTGGAACTGACAATGTATGGACTGTTGGAAGTTACGGGTTGCCAAAGGACAATCTATGCCATCCGTAGCTTCTCAGCCTTCTCATAAGAATGTGTCCCCTTCAGAATGGGATCATTCTCCACAGAGCAATAGTCAGCAACAGCAAGCAACTGCTTTGGCAAATGCATTTGAAAGGTCTGAAACTGATGCAGTAGAGGAGCTTCCTGCTACGGAAGATGAAGGTTACTGTGTGTACTTGTGAAGAATTGAATAATTATTCTGTTCCTCCTTTTATTATTTATAAAGTTAGGGCATTCATTGTGTAACAACCTAGTAAACTAATTTGTTTAAAAGAAGACGTAGTGTTTCCTGTATTACTCTAAACACGTATTCATTGGTCACTACCTCTGATCATGAGTTGCTTGGGAATACTTTCAGATGAAATCAAATCTGTTTATGTGAGAAACTTGTCACCTACAGTGTCTCCTTCTGAAATTGAAGAGGAATTCAAGAATTTTGGTAGAATCAGACCCGATGGTGTTGTCATAAGAAGTCGCAAGGTTTTTGTCTTTTCATGTTAAATAACTATATTAATTATGATTTTTGAATCTAAACTTTTCACATGTATCCAGGATGTTGGTGTTTGTTATGCATTTGTTGAATTTGAAGATATGACGGGTGTTCATAATGCAGTCAAGGTTTGGATTTACTTTTAAATAATAAGTTTGAGATATATTACTCAACTATAATGTAGTAACACAGAATTAGCTACTTGGTCTCAAATCTCAATGAATGTAGAATCATAGGATTATGTTTGTTTTTTGTTTGCAGACAGGGTCTGTTCAGATAGCAGGAAGACCAGTATACATTGAAGAACGGAGACCAAATAGTAACATCCCTTCTCGAGGAGGAAGTATGTTCTTTTTATTATTAAATAAATTTTCATCGGCCTTTTTTTCTTGAAATGTCTCCATCATGAATTTCCCTAACTTACTAGGTTTGACATATAGATGTGGTAAAACAATGAATCTGTGTTTGGCATTTTTGCTAATTGAGGAACGTTGAGAATTGTAGTGGATTCTCATGTGACATACATTTTTGAATAAATAACAAATTTTGTTCGAATATGCTAAATTTTTTTTAAGGATTACATTTGGTTGCTGTGATTACTTCTATTTTGAATTTGTCAGTCTCGCATCTCACTATGAAGAAATTATATAGTCTGATTTGATCAGCCTCATGCTTCACATAATTACGCATCATAAATTATTCAAAATGATCTTTGTCCTACACAATTTGACTGGCTATGCTGTATCAATGATGCTGTTGCAGAGTGATGGTGACACCTTTCTTTGTGTTTTTCCAGAACTCTCCTCGTTTTTATCTACATATTCAACTATTTTAAGCCACTTATTTCAGGCATTGTTTCATCATACTTGTTTTCACTGTATAATCAACAGGACGAGGTAGAGGTAGGGGTAGCTATCAATCAGATGCAACAAGAGGACGTTTCGGTTCAAGGAATTTCGGCAGAGGAAGTGGCCAAGATGGCGGTGATCGGGAGTATAACAAATCGAGAGGAAATGGTTATTATCGACCAAGTCCGCGCCAAGAGAGGGGAAATTCAGGGCATCAAGTACCAAGAAATGGGCAGAATCTGGCTGAGTCTTGAGTCAACAAGAAACTTCAGCTAGAGAATCCAATTTTGGGTCCAGATAATTGAGGTCTAAATAGTCAAGTTCGATAGATTAGACCAAATATTGATATTTTTTAAATCTTAAATTGTTCAGGGCATATGGATAAGATATTTTCTTTTCTGATAAATTTTGTTCAAGGGGCTTCGTGTTTCATTTGTTTCTCCAGGTATTTTATGTTTAGCTGGAAATGTGTTTAAAACATTTGACATTTATTTACTCCAATTGAAATTTGAAATCTAGTTGTCGTTACTTCAGAGTTTGATATTAATAGCTCTGTATTGGTGGATTAATTTCTCCGTTGCCTTTCGGCTTATGCTCTTATCATAACAAGATAGGTATCCGTTCTGCCAGTGATTATTTCTTAATTTTGACAAAATCGATTCCCTTCTGCCAATCAAGCTGGACATCCACAATTGGTAAATGAAATGTAAATTGTTGAGATATACATTTTAATTGAATTAATATTTTAGAAATTTCTTAATTTGATCCTCTAAATTAATTTCTCATGAATTTAACTCATTATATTAATTCTTTATACATTTTAAATGTCACCGTATAAGATTTTATTGTAGACTGAACAGGTGATAAAAATAATGTTTGAGAAATTAATAGCGATCCATTTAATCTATATTAGATATAAGGTTAGTGACAAAATCTTCAGAAGAATAAAATAATGACAAATGATATTTGAGAAACTAATTTAATGGCCAAATATGTTTGATAAAAAAGTACAGCAACACAACTATTGAGGGCTTTCTATTAATAATCATAAGCTTTCTTCTAGTTGGAGCCATTGCAGAATTGTTGCCCTGTTTAGTTTTATAATTTGTTTCTTCAATTTGCAGCCCATCATTAGTACAGTAGTAGTAGGCTATTTATTTGTTGCAGGGTCATTTTTAGCATTTAAAAAAAAGATAATTTATATATTTTCACGTATAAGATGTTTCAAAATTTTTTAAAATAATCTGGGTTCTTATTTACAAAATTTGAATTTTATTTAATATTCAATTGCAACATATTTAATTTTTATTTATGTTATTATAGTATTTTTAATTAAAAAAAAAATAATTAACTTTGAACAGTTAACTGATGTTTTGAATTATATAATCCAGTGTAGTTCACGCATGACTTGCAGAAAAGTAATTAGACATGCAAGTGCTTTATGTTCTGAACATATAGAGCCCAAAATATGTTTCTTTTAATTTATTCCATATATATTTAAAAGAATTCATAATTTAGATGCCATTAATAGAATTTTCGAAGAAGATTATTTTTTGTCCTTAGAATGAATGAAACCAAACACGCAGCTATTCTAGTAAAATAAAAGCTGTGATCTAGCCAAATGCATCTATATATATAATCTATGTATAATCAAAAGAAGCACTAGGATTGCGCATATATTAGTCAAGGAAAATCAATACCGTTATTCCACTTATTTGTGGAATTCATTTGAGCCTAAACTATGGTAATTTTCGCCAACTGTGCTTGCTAATTATAGAGCTCTAATTAGTAAATCCATGGCTGTATCTATTGATGTTTAGTATACATATCCCAATTACGTACACAAAGTCTAGCAAAGTTGTGAGATTTTAAAATAGGTAGGTATGTTTTGTAATGACACTGTTGCAAGACTTGCAAGATAGCATTAGCAACAACTAATCCTGATATAGACTGAAATCAAAAGAACAGAATGTTCCTTATCATCACCCCATAATAAGGGACCAAATTAAGGGTTTAAAATTGTTCAATGCCACTTTGATTCGCTGTCTTTAGTGTAACATCGTTCTCCTTTCATAGTCAAATGCCTTATTTTTCCTTTCTCCTTCACCTTCTTGCATCCCACTCACCATCATTAAAACAAAAGAAAGCGTGGGATAAACCTGGTCACAATTACTTTCATTTCCATTACGCATCTTTTCTTGTAATTACATTATCGCTAGCACAAATAAATCCTTGCCTTAATGCACCTTCATCATTAGGAGTGGTATCATGTCCAACATTTTAGCATGTTACCAACTCTTAGAACTGAACATCATATCAGCACAAGACTTAGCTCCGGTGGGTCGGTCCATGCGAACCTATGCGGTGGCATGGATCGATCCAGACCGGAAGCTTTCAACCCGGGTTGATTCTGAGGGCGGAACCAACCCGGCTTGGAATGATAAGTTTGTCTTCCGAATCGACCAAGACTTTTTATACGATGAGGAAGCAGCAATTGTAATTGATATTTACGCCCTTCATTGGTTTCGAGACATTCATGTGGGTACTGCACACGTTCTCATTGATGACCTTATCCCACCACCGTCACAACCCTTTCGAAATACATGCAAGTCAACGGGTATGCGATTTGTGGGGCTCCAAGTTCTACGATCCTCGGGTCAACCAAAAGGGATTTTAAACGTTGGTGTGGGTATCATTGATAGCTCCATGCGAAGCATGCCTCTCTACACACATGACAACACCTCAGCCGTTGGATATAGCCATGATGATCACAATCCGCCAAGCCATCAAGCCAAGCCCCATCTTCGACGTATAAAGAGTGACACCAGCTCAATACTCGCCTCAGAAGCCATGGCTCATGAGCAACCAACCATGGCTACAAAAGGGAAAGCAAATTCCCAAGTTACCCTTTCTGAAGTAAGCGTAGAATGCGAAAACAAGGCTTACTCCACATTGAGTGGCTCAGATGTGATGGCAATGCCAGAGGGTGGATTTGGTATAAAGAAGAGAGAATTAACGACCCATGACTCTCCAAGAGTAAATGTTGATTATGAAGTAAAGCCCTCGCCGAAAAGAGAATTTCAAAACTCTCCTTACAATAACGCTTACAAAGGTGGCGTGAGAGCCACTCCGTTGCACGCATTTGCGATGACGAACGCGGCATTGGAGTATGGAACGCCATACAGGTCAAACATGGGTCGTGCCATTATGACCAACTCTGAATTGGGTCCGTCGGCTTCAGAGGTGGCAGCGGCGGTGGCCAGACAACCGATTGAGGAAGGGGAGAATTCCACCGTCGGAGGGTGGAGCTTAGATGAAAGCGTCGAAGGGTTGCAACCTAAAGTGGAGAGGTGGCACACGGAGCTGCCGCCGGTGTATGACGGTGGCGAGATGTCAAGCTTAAAATCATCGGGCAAGAAAGGGAAACATTCACGTAGGCACACAGATGGTGGCAGTGGAAATGGCTTGTTCTCTTGCTTTAGTGTCATATGTGGAGTTGAGTGCTCCATTGTTTGTGGAAGCGGTGGCAAGAAGAGTCGCCGTCGCCGGGCTCAATCCGTCGATAACCAAAGCTTTCTATGAGGAGAGGAGCCATATTGGGTTCCATGCGTGGCTGGTTCAATGCGAAGATAGAAAATATTATGTAAAACTTTACAAAACATATTATTTTCTTTATTTTTTTTTTTGACTTCTTTGTCCTTTAATTAAATTTTAAATTCTCTTTTCAATTTTTGCCTAATTTAGATAAATTTTTAAAGAAATTAAATTTTAAATTCTTTTAGAAGATAAAAATATGAAATACATCAATATCTTCGAACAAAACTTTTCTCACAAATAACTTATTTTTTTTTTATTTAAAAAATTTCATATAAATTCTGTAAAATACAAAATAAGTTATTTTCAATGAATAAAAAGAATCTTCATTTTTTATTCTAATTTTTTTTTATTAAAGACTAATATGAAAATTTATATTAACTATGCCTTTATTGCTCTTTGTTTTTAAATATTACGGCGATGATAAATACATTTAATTTTGTTTTTAAGGATGTGGCTTTATCTTTTAAAAAAGAAAGATCGAGTTGATTTATTACAACAGGCAATTTTTCTACTTATAAAATAAATTCACGATGTTCACTCGTTTCACTTTGAAAAGCAATGTAGAACATTCATTTTTAATTGTTCATTAAATTATGTTAAAAGAAATATCAGCTTTCAGATTTTTGAATTGATTGGAACTATTGAATAGACATTAGAAATTTCTTTATTGGATATGTAAAACCCTAAAACTTATTTTTGATGAGTTAGTTTGCAGGATACGATGTACAAATATATTTAATTGTTAGGTTTATGGCTTAACGTAAAAAAAAATTGTTAGGGTTATGCATTCATTAGAAAAAGGCTTGAATGCGAGGAAAGATAAAAGTCGATTAACCAAAGAAAAATATTTTGAAGACATTCAAAGAGAAAAATGGTAGATGTGATAAATGATTTAATGGGTGATTTTTATGATGTTTCTTTTAAACGAGGATGAAAATAAGTCAGATAGTCTGAGAGGGACTTATAATCTAATTTTTTTAAAGTTTAGTTTAGTTTTACCTACTTAATTAATAGGCTTTAATTTAAACTTTTTAAAAAAATTAATTAATTAAATAAGTTAAGCTTGAGCTTAAAAAAAAGTCTATTAAACCTATTAGAATGACCTATTTAAAATTTAAATTTATAATATATTAAATAATTTTATATAAAAATTATAATATAATAATATATAAAAATTCAATTAACTTCGTCACAAGTATAATTTGACGAGAAAATTAAGAATAATAAATTCTAAAAATATTTTTTAAAAATATTTGTAATCACTATTTTTAAAGTATTTTCATTGTAATAATATTTTTCTTTATTTTGAAAGTTGGTGAACAACATAAAGAGATCTTCTTGAAAATATGATGATATATATTTGTTGCTTCCTATTTACTATAAAAAATATTGTTATTTGTGTATTTTAGATTTTTATTTATTGCATTTGCTAATTTTAGGTCTGAAACTTATTTAGTTATATTGTGTTTGTTGATTTATTGTGTAAGATTTATGCTACTCGATTTGCTTACTGATTCATAAATTGATGTTCATTTTATTGTATTTTTTGTATGTGTACTGATTTACTTATTTAAATTAAATATGTGGTTTAAAAGTGATAAATAAGAATAAGTAATTTTATTATACATATTTAAGGTGTTGAATTATTTTTTTGATAGTTTATTTAAATATAAACTTTATGATTTTTAAAAAAAATACCTATTTAGTTAGTTTAATAATTTATTTATAACAAAACTTGATGAACTATTAAATGTTTCAATACAAAGTATACCGTTAAAAAGACTAACATGTCAAATTAGGCTTTTAAAAAGTTATGACTAAGTTTAATAAAAAGTTTATAATTAGTAATAGGCCAAACTTAGGCTTTAAAATTATTAAACATGACAAGTCTATTTATCTAAAGCCTAGCCTATTTTCATGCTTTGACTTCTAAGGTTTAAACCTTCATCCACTATGTAACTTTAGCTTTCAAATATCTTACATTGAAATTCATGTCAGGCTATTAAAAAGGTTAATAATGCCAAATTAAACTTTTAAAAAGGTTAGACTAAGCTTATTAAAATTATTAAACAAGCCAAATTTATTTATCTAAAGCTTAACCTATTTCCATCCCTAGTTCTAAGGTTTAAACCTTCATCCACTACTAAATAACTTTAACTTTCAAATATCTTACATTGAAATTCATGTTCAACCAACTTTTATATATATATATATAAATATAAGATTAATTTAATATTTCAAATATTTGCAATTAAATATATTATTTAAATATTTAAAATTTTACATATATTATACAATTACTGATGATTCAGTCTCAGCCTATATAATTACAGTAAGAACAATTTTTTTGAGAATTTTTTTAATTGCTATTTTTATGTTATAATATTTTTTATTCTACATTTATTGAGTTTTCAAATATGACTTTTATTTCTATTTTTATGTTTATTATATTATTTTATCAACATTTACTTTATATTAAAAATAATATTAATATTTTGTATACATAATTTTTTATTTTAAATATATTTTTATTTTATATAATTATAATTAATTTATTACTATTTCTTGTTTAGACTTATTATACTATTACTTATATTATAATTGAATACTAAGAGTACTTCACCAATACTTTTGCTGAAACAAGTGTAGCACACATTATTTTATCAAAAATGCTTTTAAGTACGATTATTTTTTTTTCATAAAATGATACGAATGGAGACATGACAATGTGACTGGTCTACAAAATTTCTTTTTCTTATAATAAATTTATCACCCATTTGTAATTGGTTAGTTTATCTTTCGTAAAGTTCGTATTTTTTTTATTCGTATCAAATATTAATCTCCCTATTTTATTAGCTTATAATATGATCAGTTTTTATCTTTCTAAATGATAGAATATAATATTACACAACATAATAACTACTTCGCTTGTGATTAACTGTGGTACCTACTATAAGAAATGTTCCACTTAGCGTTCGGTTTATTAGCGGCAGTAAGTTAGCAATAAAGGCCACTAAAATATTTTAAAAATAATATTTAATATTGGTTTTAGTAATTGCTGCAAAAAATACAGGATTTAATGGCAGTTTTGTATAACCATCACAAAAAATGCGGGATTTAACAATGATTTTGTATAATTGCCACAAAAAATGCAGGATTTTGATTTAGTTTAAGATAACAGAATATAAGAAACATCACTTTCTCCCATTCTCTATCACCCACTCAAAGCTACCATTCATCTACACCTTGGCCTTATTGAATTCCACCATTTTCTCTGCTACTGTTACCACCTTTAAAGTGTTTTCTCCAACCGTGACAAACCTCGGTAATCTTCTACTACCCTTTTTACTTTCTCTAAAAATGTCTTTTCTCCAACGACTCTACACTATTAATTATATAATATATATGTTGTGTTAAAAATAAATGGAATCTGAACCCAAATAGCAAAAGAAAGAACTAAGTAGAAGATAAGAACATAAAAAAAGTGTGGAAGCCAAAAACAGAGTATTGCAATGGCAAAAACAGAGCACTATCACGTGCAATCTAAAATTTGAATTTCAAATTTAGCGGTAGTTTAAAACCACTACAAATTTAGCTTTGTGTCGCCAATTTTAACATCAGTTTCATAATCATCAAAAAAATATTTAGAGACACTTGAAACCACCATTAATCATTAAATTTAACCACCGCAAATGAACATTTTTTTTTGTAATGACCAAATACAATACAATTGATTTAGGAATAACAAATACAACATGAGCAATAGTGACAATATGAGAAGTATAATATAAATAATATGAAATAAAAATCAAAGATACTCTTACTTTTACAAAAAAATATACATTATTAATAATAGTTACTAATTTTGTTTTACCGATATCACTAGAATCAAAATCCTTTACTATACAGTTAGTGTATTTTTCATTTTTATTTAAGTGAAAGTGTAAAATATACACTAACTACATGACATAGTTTGCGCTAAAAATAAAAAAATTTAATCCATTTATAAAAATGTTTATTTTAAAATTTATATAATAATTTATTTTAAGAAAGGAAACTAATTTTATGTAATTAAAAGATGATTGAGATAAATATCATGATTTTAAATAAATGGGGTTTCAAAGTTCATAGTGATAAGTTTTATTTTTTTTAATAAAATCTATTTTGATTACATTGATCATGTGAGATTTAATAACAATTTATTATATTTAGAACTTTAAATGTTCCAATTTATTTGCAAAAAGAAAACACTTTGTTGTAACGTTGAAATACCAATTACATCAGCTAAAATGATGTGATCGGTAATGTAACATCCTAATTTTCATTGAGATTTTCTCATTTTCAAAATAGAAGAATTATTTTTAAAAATATAGAAAATATTCCTTTTAGCTTAGGAGAATATTTCTTTTAGCTCAAGTAAGAATGGATCGGATTTTTTCATTTGTACTTTTGCTCAAGCTAAAATTTGTAACAAAAATGGGTAGCTCTCTGCCGTGTTTTTGCTCAAGCAAAAATATTTTTGTTTGAGTAAACATATCAGCAGAAAAGTAGCAATTTTTGTCTAGTTTTCTCGTTGAAGCGAGAATACCCTCGCTCAAGCAAGATTTCTTGAGAAAAAAGGGGCATTTAGTGATTTCGGCCTTCTAAAACCACATCTCAAACCAAAAAACCATTCTCATCTCTTTCTATATTCTCTATTCTTCCTTTCTTAGAGAAAACTTCCTCAAATCATAAATCTCTCTTAGATCTGAACTCGAATTTAACATCCCTGGTTTTATATTAATTATAATTGCATTATTATGATAAATATATATGTAAAAGGATGTTAGAAGAAATTTGAATTGTTAGAACTGTAAGATTCTCACTGTAGCGAGTATGTGTCACTGTAGTGAGAATAAGACGGTAAAATTGAAACATTGTGGAACTTTTTTGTTATAGCGAGAGCTTCTCGTAGTAGTGAGAAAAGTGGATAAGATTGTCTCACT